GCGGTCAAACAGCGCGAATCCAGCGCTTCGATCAAACGCGGGTGGCTCTTGCTGATTTACGATAAGGAAAGGGGGACATTGAAAACGAACAGACAAGACAGGCTTCATCATCGTAGTTCAGACGTATCTTCTTGAACGTCGACTCGCTCTTGCATCTCCGGGCTCGCGAAAAACGCCGCGACGATTTGTTTCATGCCGCTTTGTAAATGAGCAGCGCGGGCCGTCTCCCTTTATCAACGATGACAGTTGTGTTGACTTCATAGCGATCGAGTTCGTATACTCCGTTTCAGCTTCGGCCCGAGCGTGGCCGATGTTATGAGCAGAAGGACCAATCAAACAGCGAAAGAGGCACAACGTCATGACGTGCTCTCTCAACGAGGTAGTGCTCTCTGCAGTTGATATGACCAGCCGGTATTCGCTATCTCTCCGCGCGCGCTCCTCTGCTGGCTAGTCCTATCAAGAGCAGGGAGCACGCCATGACGCAGCGCTTTTTGCGCTCTTTGATTGGCCCTTCGGCTCATAACATCGGCCGCGCTCGGACCGAAGCTGAAACGAAGTATAGCAGCCGTCGAAGACGGTTATCGCGGCCTCGGCATTCGGGCCCGTTTAAATCGTGTTAGCGTCGACATTTCACTGCACGGACACGAACCCTATAGCGTTGGCGGAGAAGCCGCCTGCGTTTGTTATTCGAAATCCACGTGCCCCAAACCATGCCGAGCTCTCCGATTGGTTGTTCGTCTCCAGCGCCGTATAGGTGGCGGGGCGGTAGATCCAAGATGGTGGAAGAGACGGGGATAGATTTTCCAGGATTTTCCGTGCGCCTGCTCGCTGACGCTGGTCAGTGCGTCAAAAATGATTTATTTTCCCACAAATGCGAAGCGGTTAGGGGAGGATCATATTACAGGTGACGGGGATGTGAATACGCGTTAGCAAAACGACCATGCTGATATTTCAAAGTTGCATAAACCTCCTCTTGCGAAGCTTTGTGGTGAGCGAGCGCGTTTTAGGCACCGGCCACGTTACTGTTTGTGGCAGAATATTTTTAAGGGTGATGAAGATATCGTGTTTGCTCTTTGCCTGGCCATTAGTGCCCTAAAAAGTAGGCCGCGCACGTTAACCGTCAAGCTTCGGAAGAACAGCGTTCACTGTATTGACGTCTTCGTGTCACAGGCTCACAACTTGGTGTTTACCGTCTCAGTTTTAGTGTATTGCAACACGTGATCAAGTTGCTGTATGGTTATTGATAGGAAGTTTGTTACCGCAGGCTACACTGCGGTGTAGCATTACAACCGGAAGCTCGCGCTGCGCCTTTGAAGCACAATATTCAGCGCGCGCCAGGAGCGTTGCCGTGCTCACGGCAGCTGCCTCTTACCATAATCGGCGTGTTCAATGGTTTTATTTATTGCTCTATCAAATATAAATATTTTGATAACCCGTACAATTTTTGTACTGTATTATTTGCGACGTTGCGGCCCCTCTCGTCAAAACACAGATGCGCTTAAAATGCTTCGGGCAGTTCTTTATTTACTTTGTAATTACCTGAAAGCAAGTACGCGTATTTCATCTTTTAAAAGTGCTTGGAATAAATGGACATGTTCCTTGTAACGGCCTTAAAGCGCGAACCCATTCCCGATGTGTATTGCTCGACAGATCGTTGCGCGACCAGTTTTCTCCTACTTAAGGCAAAGAACAGATTTTTCGTAGACAGTACTCTAGAGCTCTACATTACTAGCGGGAGTGTTTGCCGTCACGGTGAACACCGAATGAAATGATGGCCACGCACAAAACCAGAAATCCGCAGCGTATGCGATGTACGCCGCGATTTCCCCCCCCCCCCCCCTTTAATTCGCAACGACTCCTCTATTCTCAATGCCCCCCTCCCTATTTTCAATTCGTAAGGAAACCCCTGGATATGCGAAAAGTCCCTAATGAAACTAGACATCCCGCGGTCCTTCGTGCAACATAGTTGCAAGGCGGAGCGCAAGAATTCCTATTTTAACGTGCTCACTTTTTTAGGTTAGAACGGCTTCACGCATCAAGGCCGACAGCCCCTGCCACGGTTTCTGCGCCGCAGCCACCGCTGCCGTCCCCGTTCCTCTGGTTCTCCGTTTGTCCGCGAGAAGGCGAGCGGCGGGCTGGAGTTGCCAATAGCAACAGCCCGCTCTCGCGGGGATCGGGAGCTAGTGGGACACCGGAAATTCTTTTTTTTAGAGCGCAGCCCTTAGGCCCCCGTTTCCGGGTTGAGCTTGAGCGGCGTCGACGTCGCCGTCGGCGTAACCACGCATTGCATCACGTGTGACGTCACGAGGGCAAAATAATCCACTGAATTCGGCGGGAAGTTTTCCCGTTAAATTTAGCAGAAAAATTTCGGCGCTAAATTTAGCGGAAACATTTTCCGCCAGATTTAACGGGGAAATTTTACCTTCGTTACGTCACGCGTGACGCCACTCAATCCGAGAAAATATTCCCGCTAAATTTAGTGGAAAAATTTTCCCGGGTTGAATGGTGTCACGTGTGACGTCACGTGAACGAATGTGACGTCACGTTAAATTTAGCGGAAAACTTTTCTGCTAATTAAAACTTTGGTTTAGGCTAGTTGGTCCATGGTAGGTATAAGGTTTAAAAGCACAAACAGACAGGGACAATAGAAAATAACACAAACGAGAGCGCCTTCTCCCTGTCGTTTGTGTTATTTTCTATTGTCCCTGTCTGTTTGCGCTTTTAAACCTTATACCTTTTCTGCTAAATTTAGCGGGGAAATTGACATCACGTGACCTCAACGCCAATTCAGTTTTCCCGCTAAATTTAGCAGGGAAATTTTTGCTAAATTTAGCGGGAAATGTATGTAAATTTCCCGATAAATTTAGGGGAAATATTTCCCCGCTAAATTTAGCAGGAAATTTTGCGAAAATTTTTCGGTAAATAGAAGGGGAGCATGAGAGGAGGAGGGGAGGTACGGAGGAAGAGGAGCGGCATAGCTTCCCCTTCGTACCCTTCCCTCCTCCTCCTCCTTAAGAACTGCGCTCTAATTCGGCAGTACAGAGAATTTCTTTGTACCGCCGAATTTATTTTTTCCTTTTTTTTTTCCGTACGAGAACGTCACTTGCCTTCTCTCACCTAAGACCGCGTTCGTGAATACCAACTTTTCTTCTTACGATCTTACGATGTTCATAATTTACGAACGTCTCAGCTAAAATGTCGTTGCCTAAGAAGCTCTTCGTGAATCTTGCTTGTAAGTTAAGATCATCGTAAGAAGAAAAAATATCTGTATTCACAAACGCGTTCTTAAGTGAGAGGAGAAAAGCGATGTTCTGGTGCGGAAAAACTAGAACTTCCGGTGTCCCGTAAGCTCCCGATCCCCACGAGAGCGGCTTGTTGCCATGGCTACAGCATCTTCGGCAACATGAACAACCAATCGGAGAGCTCGTCAAGGTTCAGAGCACGTGGATTTTGAAAAACAAACGCAGGCGGCCTTTTAATTTTGAATAATAAACGCAGGCGGAGTGCCTTGCTAGGCCTATGATCCGCCGAGCTACTTGGCGGAGGCTTAGTCGGTGGGATCGTTGCCGTTGTATACCTTTTTCCGGATGTTTGTGGATCCAGCGTTCATCTCCGTCGTGGTCAGTTTCAAGTACAAACTTCATTTTTTCTTGCTGCTTTTAAGTCGGGACGTCGGTAGGTCGTCACGGTCAAATATAACTGAGCGACGCTGTCGGCCATGTTGATTTGATCGTAAAAAAGTGCATAAAACAGCTCCGGAGCTGTCGTTGGATTCCATCGTAACTTCCACGAAATTTACGATAATTTCGTTTCGAGGGTACGCACATTTTTAGAGTAAGATCGTTTCGTGAATCTGGCCTCAAAAACTTTGAGTCCTCGATGCTACAGCCGGCAACTCGCTCAATGTTGCACGCGGTTCCAGTCATATGGAGGCACTCCAAACTATCGTTTCGGCTTAAATCCATACGCAGCCGATGCTACGAGGTAATACGACCGATCAAGAAGCGTCAAAAGCGCAAAATATAGCATTTTCTGTTTATATTTGGTTCAGCGATGACAGAACACGTACAGAGACATTACGAAAACCACGCTGGTGAGCTTTTGACGCAGTCTGATTGTCCCATCAGCTCATTGTGTCGGCGGCGTCTGGACTTAAAATTATACGAATTCTACAGAATCTTAGTCCCATTCCATGGCAGTGGTCATCCTCCGAAAAACATTGAGCTGTCGTGAAATGTGCTCCGAAGAAAATGAAAGGTGGTTCTGACAGTAGATGCTGCCCTAGAGAAAGCGCTAAGCATCAAGATCCGTCGGTCTTTTCTATTCTTGTTTCCTTCGTTTTGTACATCTGCATTGCTATGGCTCATCATGTCAAATGCCCACGGCAGAGGAGGAAAGTAGCCTGTTTCATGACAGTGTTTTACAAGGTATACGGCTTTTTGCGCGCGCTGAAGAGCATGCATGCTTCGAAGTCACAGCGTGAGCTTCCGATAGCTATGGTGCCTGGAGCGCGTCCTCGACTGGTCTGTTTACAGTGTCCTCAAAACTCGTCCCTCGACTTCAGCCAGATAAAGTCACAGAACTTTCATGCTGTCGCCGGCCGCTAATCTGGCAGTGTCGCAGCAGCGGTGGCGTATGTGGCAGATGCCAATTCTGCTGCAAGTTGGTCTCCAGCTTGACAGACGGAAGCTTCGGCAATCAGGAGTTGGGACAACACGACGACAGCCACACTCGCGTTCTCCCGTGCTTTCTTCTAGAACTTCTACGCTTAACCGCCAAGATGGCGGCATCCAACAGCATGCCACTTCGGCTTTAAGACGTCATTTGTTACCACTTCGGGACAAATTTGGATACATGCATGGGCGGGATCTAAACACAGCAGTCGGAGAAGTTTTCCAGGCATCGTGGCACAGCAGCTCGTCATTGCTACGCTAAAACTGCCTAATGAAAAGTGATGCGACGGATTGAGCTGAGCGGCCTTCCTCGCTTTCCCCGCGCAGGTGCGCGCTGGGCTTCAGCGCCAGCATGATCTGCCAGCGCATCCCGGGCCTGACGTCGGCGCAGCGGAGGCTGTGCACATCCCGGCCGGACGCCATGGTGGCCATCGGCGAAGGGGCCCTGCTCGGGATGGCCGAGTGCCGGCGCCAGTTCAGGCACCGGCGCTGGAACTGCACCGACACTGGAGCCTCGGAAGCCGGCTTCGGGCACGTCTTCGCCATAGGTGGGCGGCCGAAAGGTGTCCTTCGTGTTCTGTTTTTTCCTTTTTTTTCCTGTCTTTTGCCCCGCATGCCGTTCTGTCTCTCTTCTTTTGAAGTCGCTGGGATTTTGATTATACACCAACTCGCTGTTTATGAACAATTTCACGTTCGGGCAGTTAGCAGAAAGCAGATTCACGTGAAGCGTCTGCACATTCGCCGTGCCGACAACAGCCGCACCGCAACGGCGTCACGCCAGGGCCGTGTGTTGTTGCATATCAGGGAGGTAGGAAGAGTACCGGCTCAAGCCAGCCAGACAAGAAAATCCCAAGTGAATGCCGAAGTAGAGGTCGCGGTAGGTGGCGCCGATTCAGTTGTCCTTTATGTCGAATAGCGTCTTTTGGTCTGGTTCGTTGTTGGTGATCGTTGAGGGCGTGTCCCTCCGGACCGGAAATTCCCCCCTCTGTTGGCGTGATGTCACCTCCAGAAGATTTCTAGCGAAACAAGCCCCCTTCCTTGCAAAGCCCTCCACACTTTCCAAGTGAGCAAACGCTGGAGAGTAAAGACAGGAGGCGGGTCCACTCGCCTTCTCTCCAGCGTTCGCTCCGCGGCTTCGCCAGAGTTTTTCTGCCGGTGCTGGTCCTCTCCATGCCACGGCTCATGGTTCCTACCGGAGCCGGGAAGCCCCAAATGGGAGCGAACGTAAACGCTCTAACGGTACACTTGTTTATAGAGCCCCGCGTCCGAGGTATTTTGTCTCGAACAAGTCTGCTTTTGAGAACTCCCCTTCGAAGGTGCTTTTTCTTGTGTACTCTCGTGGTCGTGACCTTTAATGTGCTTTGTATTGTTTATAGCTGCTCTTGTGAGCTTTGTTCGAAATCTGTATTTCTAGTGTATACCATGTATACTGAGACCATTTTTTGCGTCGTGAACATAGTGTTTTTTTTTGTTTTTTTTGGGAAGAGGCGTTCGTGCATTTAATATTGTATAATCACTGTTGAGAAATTGGAGAGAGCGAGCAAGCTTTCCCAACTTGGTCTCTTTTGTCTCAGGCACTGCCCTTAGTTTCTCAAGTTTCAGTTTCAGTAGGCATTAGGGTGACCACCCGTCCCGCGACTCGCGGGACTGTCCCGCATTGAGGGTTCGTGTCCCGCGTCCCGCGAGAAATTGCTGCATCTTCAAAATGTCCCGCGTTTCATCCTGTCGTAAAATTCACTCTGCATTTCATGGTGCTGCCCGAAAATGGGGCACGCGGAAGTGCGGAGGTCGCTAGTAATTGTGTGAATCGAAATGGTACGCCATGTAACGTTCTATGATCTATCCAAGCATTGCGGGAAGCGACCGTCGTTCTTGCAGGAGGACCGACGCGGATGCGCCGTTCTGCCTCTCCATTTGGTGGGAAAATATTGTACGAAAAAGTTCTCGCCAAAAGTTTAAATATAAAATGTTGTAATTATTTCAAATTGCCATGCCAATGCAATAAATCTGCCACGGATTTCTTTTTTTTTTTTTTAGTGAAGGCAGCCAGTTACACATGCAACGGTCGAAAAAGAACATAATGTTACAAATTTGTGTAGCACCATGCCAATGCGAAAAGTTTGCTGTGGATTTCTTCTTCTTCTTTTTTTTTTTCAGTGAAGGCAGCCACACATGCAAAGGTCGAAATAGAGCATAATGTTAAAATTTTGTGTAGCACCATGCCAATGCGAAATGTTTGCTGTGGATTTTTTTTTTTTTTGTGGAGGCAGTTACACATGCAACGGTCAAAAAGTGAAAGCCGTTTACCACTCCCTGTAACGCCGAATTGGAGCGCAGCTCTTGAGGAGGAGGAGGGGAGGGTACTGAGGGCCACGTGTTCTCGGGGGGGGGGGGGGGGTCACGTGACCTCGGGGGTCACGTGCCCCCTCAGAGGTCACGTGACCTCGGGAGGGGGTCACGTGACTCCCCAGGTCACGTGACCAAAATTTTTCCGCTAGATTTAGCGGGGAATTTTTTTCCGCCAGATTTAGCGGGGAAAGTTTTCCGCTAGATTTAGCGGGGAAATTTTTTCCGCTACATTTAGCGGGGAAATTTTTTCCGCTACATTTAGCGGGGAAATTTTTTCCGCTAGGATTTAGCGGGGAAAGTTTTCCGCTAGATTTAGCGGGAAAATTTTTTCCGCTAGATTTGACGGGGAAATTTTCCCGCTAGATTTAGCGGGGAAATTTTTCCGCTAGATTTAGCGGGGAAATTTTTTCCGCTAGATTTAGCGGGGAAAGTTTTCCGCTAGATTTAGCGGGAAAATTTTTTCCGCTAGATTTAGCGGGGAAATTTTTTCCGCTAGATTTAGCGGGGAAATTTTTCCGCTAGATTTAGCGGGGAAATTTTTTCCGCTAGATTTAGCGGGGAAATTTACCCATAATGCACCGCGCGGTTACGCCGACGGCGACGGCGACGCCGACGGCGACGGCGACGGCGACGGCGACGGCGACGGCGACGGCGACGCCGCTCAAGCCGGGAACGGGCCCCTAAGAGCTGCGCTCTAAAAAGAACATAATGTTAAAAAAATTGTGTAGGACCATGTTGATAGAAGTAAGCGTGGACAGGAAACAATAACCAGAAAAATTTTTACTGTTTCTTATTCCCATTTGCATTGAGTTCTCTTTCAGTCGATTTTTATGTTTTCAACTTCGGCACATGTAATACCATCTTTGGCATTCAAAATAATCTATCACAGGTAGTGAAAATTATTCGAGCCTAATTGCTGCAATACAATTAGCAGGTGTATAAACAGTACGGGATAATAAATGTGTTAACAGAGCCTTGGTTCGTTGTGTGCGTCTACTACGTGCCGCTTCACGTTCACGCACAGCATGATCTCCATCCTAACACCTAGGGTGAGACCGAGCGCCGAGCAAACGGGCCACCGAAGGCGAGAAAGAGCAGGTGGCGCCCTCTGTTGGCGCCGAAGCCGACCAACTACGATAAGCGCGCGCATCCTCCGTTAGTTTTCTGCGACACGACGCTCGTACAATACAACGAGCTCAACACAGCTGACGCTGTAAAGCAGGTCAAAAGCATTTTTAGAGCGCAGCTCTCAGGCGCCCTTTCCCGGCTTGAGTGGCGTCGGCGTAACCGCGCGGTGCATTATGGGTAAACGTCCCCGCTAAATCTAGCGGAGAAATTTTCCCGCCAAATCTAGCGGAGAAAGTTTCCCGCTAAATTTAGCGGAAATATTTCCCCGCTAAATCTAGCGGAAATATTTCCCCGCTAAATCTAGAGGAAAAATTTCCCCGCTATATCGAGCGGAAAAATTTCGCCGCTATATCTAGCGGAAAAATTTCCCCGCTAGATCTAGTGGAAAAATTTCCACGCTAAGTTTAGCGGTAAAATTTCCCCGCTAGAATCTAACGGAAAAATTTCCCCGCTAAGTCTAGCGGAAAGATTTCCCCGCTACATCTAGCGGAAAATTTCCCGGCTAAATCTAGCGGAAACAAATTCCCCCTAAATCTAGCGGAAAAAAGCCCCGCTAAATCTAGCGGAACAATTTCTCTGGGGGGTCACGTGACCCCCGTGGACACGTGACCCCCCGAGGTCACGTGACCCCCACGTGACCTTGGGGAGGGGGTCACGTGACCCCCCCGGGAACACGTGAACCTCAGTACCCTTTACTCCTCCTCCTCAAGAGCTGCGCTCTAATTCGGCGTTACAGGGAGTTGTAAACGGCTTTTTTTTTTATTATCCGAAACAATTGGAAACGATGCCTGGACATTACCGTGAAGCTAAGAAACTAAAGAACTCAGTACTTGTGGAGTAGAAAAACAATTCCCAAGAGCCGAATACGAAGTTCCCGCGCGATCCGAGCCAACGCAGTGACGTCAAAGATGGAGTCGTCCCAGTCGTCCTGCAACTCGAGTTTCTCTCACGCCTCCGAACCGACCCGAAGTTCGCCCGTGTCCCGCGATCAACCGCTTGCGTGCCGCCTGTCGCTGTGAGCAGACGACGCTCCACTTTCGAGTTTGAAGTGCTTTGGGCGCTCCTTCAGCGATCCCAAAGTCTTTGAAATGGTCTCTTCATTTGTTGTCTGTATAAATATAGTCCTATCTGTAATGAAAGTTTTAATCCATAACGTGTACCGGCGGAGTACTCCAGAAGGTATATGCAACGATACGATGCTGTGTTTTGTTAATATTTTCTGTTTCATGAAAACGGAGGGGTAAACATAACCAGGAACGTGCCGTTAAGTAGCTTCGCCGTCTTCCTCTTCTTCCTCTACCCATTTGCTACCAATGAAAATAGTTAAAACGCAGCCACTGTGGTACGGCAAAAGTTCGAACATGCTCGGACTACCGGATGTCTCAAGTAGCGGCCACGTTCTTTAAATCGACAGCAACGTTCGGTTTCTTAACCTGTCACACTACGATTTTGTGCAGCGTTGCCTACAGATGGTGCAGTTTTTCTATAAAACTTTCAAAGAGCGAACTTACCTAAGGAAAAAGTAAAAAAAGAAAAAAAAGGCTTAACCTCTATGGAAACGCAGTGTAGGCGTTAAGCCTTTTTCTTTCTTTACTTTTTCCTTGGGAAAGTTCGCTCTTTGCAAATTTTATAGAAAAAATGCACCACCTTTGGGCAACGCTGCACAAAATAGTAGCGCGATAGATTAAGAAACCGAAATTTGCTGATTTAAAGAGCCTGGCCGCTAATTGAGACATCCGATAGGAATCATTCGGCCATCCAAAAGCTACTGGGCAACTCCCAGGACCGGACCTATGGGAGGGTGATTTGGAAGTCGCCCAGGGTGCCCTCAAAAAAAGGGCGCCTCCCCCCCCCCCCCCCCCCCCTTTCTTTAATGTTTTTAGCTTTTTGATTTATTTGAACACGATCGGACGTTCGTTCTTGGAGTACGGTTCTCGTTTGACAAAACGCTCGTGTTGGGCAACTACTCACATGTTTACTAACACCGTGATGTCGTATGTAGTAGATATAGCCTATAGGGGCGTATGAAAAGGGGCGGGGGGGGGGGGGGGGGGGGACGTTTGCCCAGGGCGCTTGATGGTGTAAG